TGCGAAAGGAAGGTACTAGCACCTTAAGCATCCATCGTACCCAACAGGAACCATTTCACTTGATTCTAGGCTTGGATGGGTTATCTATCTAAAGACTTCTAGCTAAAAAGGAAAGAAAAGAGAGAAAAAGAAAGAGAAAGAAAGTGTTCGCGGAGGATTGGGGCCCTCGTACCTACGTACCCTCATAGTGCAATGAGGAAGTCAGAGCTCCGTAGTTCAAAGAACCAAGGAAGAGAAGGAAGATCTGGACGGACCAGAGAGACAGGGGAATGGAAGAAGACAGAGGAAGGTGGCTTGCCAAGATTTCACAATCTTGTGCCTACGTACCCTCGTGGTGCAATGAGGAAATCAGAGCCTACGTAGTTCAGGGAACCAACGTTAAAGGAAGAAAATAAAAAGGAACATCGTCAAAGCAGAAAGCGAAAAGAGAAAGTAAGACCCAACTGGGGAATGTAAGAGGAATGGTGTCAAAACCAAGAAAACTCTGCTGAGAAACGGAGAAGCGAGACAAGAACTCTGCCGAGGAATGCAAAAGAAAAGAGATGACTCAACTGGGGAGAAAACAAAAGAATGGCGCCGGAGCCAAGAGAATAAAGGAGTAAAGGACAAGAATCAAAATAAAGGTAAGATCCATGGGGGATTATGTGCATTAACTGGTAAGCAGTGATCAACCGAAGAAAAAATAAGAGTAAAACTTTGTGGGGAGAGCGAAAAGGTTGGTGTCAACAGACGGACTGCGACGAACCAAGAGAAAGATAGTACTGAACCAAAGGGAGGTGTTTGACTCTGAGGGAAAATTGGTATATTAACTGATAAACAATGGTTAACTGGAAGGATAAAGGAGTTGGTTTTAACTGATAAACGGTGATCAATCAATATAGAGGTGTGGAACCAAGCAAAGGTTGTGACCCAAAGAACGAGTGTGGAACCAAGAGACGATTATGACCCAAAGAATGGTACACTGTCTGAACAAACAACACTTGATCAAAGGAAAGATTATTCGAACCGAACAAAGGTTACTAACCAAAAGCTGGCAGTATTTGAACCAAAGAAAGATTGTTAACTGCAGAGATTCGGTGCTTAATAGACGGACTGTGATTAACCGAAAAAATGAGTGATTAACCAAAAAAAGGTGATTAACTCAAAAGAAACTCAGTATCTTAACAGAAGGACTGTGGTTAACTGAGAAAAAGGGTGATTGGTTCAAACAGATGGACCGTGATTGACCAAAAGGCAGGTGATTAACCAAGAGAAGGTGATTAACCTAAAGAAAAAGCTGGTTTTAACGGGCAGACCGTGATCAACTAAAGATCATGTGATTAGCCGAAAGAATGTGATTAACCCAAAGAAAGTTCAGTTATTAACAAACGAGATATGATTAACTGAGGAAAAGGTGATTGGTGTTTAACTGACAGGCAATGATTAACCAAACAAGAAGGAGAGAGAACCAAGAGAAGGTTGCGAACTCCGATAGGGACTAGGTTTTAATAAGAATACTGTGTAAACCAGATAAGAAAATTTGATTTCCTTGAGGAAGAAGAGAATTTGGTTTTAACCGAAGAATAGTTGATCAACCAAAGAAAGAAATGACTACAAGACTCTGGGTGAACTAAGAATGGATTGACCTCAACAGAAAAAGTGTTGAATTGAAAGGTGAGAGTCACTTCTAAAAAGGAGATAAGGGTGCAAGTGATCAAGGATCGAATCGACTGGAGAAAACATGGATACTACAACAAGGAGATAAAGGCGACTATTCCAGGCACAGGGTCATTCGTCCCCTACCCAAAATAGTCAGAATGAGTGTAGGAATTCTCCACTATCATTCCTTCTCTAACACCAAAGTGCGGTGCAAAAAACGAAACGGGCAACACAACGGCGCAAAATTTGTACAGTGTTCCAATGCGTTTCGAATCTTCAACTCCACGGGGAAAAGAGAGGACAAAGCTCTAGAAGATCCAAAGGAGAAAAAAAAGGAAGGACCGACTAATCAAAACGAAGTTTCAATTAATCAATCAAAAGGGGATGATGCTAACAATTTTCCAAAGGGATGGAAAATCATTGAAGCAAAGGATGAGTTATTGATTATAGAAGATTAAACTCATTCCAAAGAGGAACAAATTTAATGCGAGCATGAATGGAAGTGTAAAACAGTATCAAATGTGATTTAGTATGCATAACAAATCATGTAGCATGTGATCAAAGAATGTGTAAGAATGATCATGATCATACAAGTGTCGAAGATGCAAATAATCGAGAATTGATAAATTGCACATTGAAAGTTTACATGTATGCCTTAGATAAAAGTTAAACAACTCAAAAAACATCCACAAATATCAAGCATGTCAAACCATGGAAGTTACATGAGGAAAAAATAACAAACAAGTTTGAAAATAGGCAAAAATGACATTTTGTTACAGTGGTAATCAATTACCACCTGCAGGTAATAGGTTACCTGCTCAAAAATTGCAAAAACACATGAAAATTGTGCAGGGTAATCGATTACCAAATATAGGTAACCGATTACCACTGTAACAGTGGCAAAAAACAGCTTTTGAAAAAGCACTTTCAGTAACCAAAACACTTATCTAATCATCCACATGCTATGATTAACATTTGAGCACGAAAATGAAGTTCAAAATCACTTAGGCATCAATTAAACATCAATTGAAAGCATTAAACATGAAGATCAAATATCAAACAATCACATGATCAATCAACGCCGAAAAATGATCGAACTACATCGTAAACGCGCGAAAATGATCAAAATAGTAAATCAAGTGCGAATTACCAACCTACAAGGCGGAGAATTGCCTTGGTGATTGCTGCTATTGATATGTGATGAGAATAAGCAAAGAAAACCAAAGAATTCCAAGCTTGAGATCAAATCATAGCGAAATCGATAAAAACACAATAAATGCTCCGAATACCGATTTGCACAAAAGAAGCTTGATATGATTATTTGAATTGGATAATAAGCTAATGTAAATCCAAAATTCCAAGTAGGAATATGGTGGAATGAGGTTTAACTCAAGAGAATAACAATTTCGACGTGAAGATCGTTACATTCTAATGGTAGAAATTAAGCTTTTGTGAGGTTTTGGGAATACGATGAAGATGAATGTGAGAGAAAATTGCAGAAAAATCAGAGAGAATGTGAGAGGATTGAGAGTGATCAATGAAGAATTTGGGAAAGTGATTGAGGGTCAGAAAATGGTTAAGGATCCTTGTAAAATGATGGTGATTTGCTTATACAGAGTTTTGCTTCGGAGTTGCTAGGTTCGGAATGAGCTTTGGATGTATCCTTGGAACTAGCCTTGGAGTTAGTTAGCCTCAACTCACTGAGTTAGAGACTCAGTTAGTTAGGTAGTTGACTCGGTAACAATCCCAATGCAAACTTGAATCTAAGGGCTCATATGCTTGGGAATGAAGTAACGTGGCGGTCTTAATCCAAATTGATGTATTAGAGCAAATGCCTTGAAGTGTTTAGAAAGGTATTGAAGTGTAGAGAACTGTCTAGAATGTTCCACACAATGCTAGAACTAAGTAGACCCCCAAAATGTAGAGTGAAAGTGGTTGTCACAGAAAATGCAGCAAAAATTGCAATTTTACACAGGGTAATCGATTACCACAAGCAAAACTTGCATATTTTGCTTGCAAAATGGTGTTGTGGTCACAGTTCCGATTTTCAACCTTTTGTTTTAATGAATAGGCATAAAAACCTTCATTTTGTGCTTGTTTTGATGATGTGATATTTGAGAAGATGTGATTAATCAGGCTTGAAAAACCTGAATATTCCTACAACAAAAATCACAGAGAAAAAGTGCAAATGCGTATGCCAATGATGCGAATGCACATGCTTATGCAAAAGGAAAAAGGGAGGTCAAATTTTGGGTTACGACAACATGGTCTCCATAGAGATGAAGTAAGGAGGTGTCAACTGGGCCTCCTAGATAACTATCTACAAGGGCATCCACACTAGCAGTGAGTTCCTCCTGATTAACCTCATATGCTTTAAGGGGCTTAACGGCTTCATAGGGGGCATCAAGAGCTTCATAAGTAGATGACGCTTGACCTCGTGAAGTAAATGCCTGAGACATGCGACTTTTGGAAGTAGAATTAGATGGTTGTGAACCTCGACCTTGTGAACTGTCAAACGAGGTAAATCGACTCGTGCACTCATGACTCTGCCATCAACCCTCTCACATCGTACATACGCGTGTTGAGACACACGACCATGCCTAATTATGTCCGAATTATTTTCAACAATTGCACCTGTAATAAAACCAGAAAAACAAATCAAAATGATGTCAAAATGCAGCCAACCATATCCGAAGATACATCTCCAAAAACAATACCAACATAATCCAGATATGCATCTCCGGATAAACTAGCAACATGCAAAAAAGGCAGAAACCCTATTGTTGCCTTAATCTCTAACCAAATGGTAATGCATGACTAGATATCTACCTATTTCGATTGTATTACACTCTAATACATCTTAAACAACTAATGTTACCTGAAATATCGGTCAAAACTAAAAAAAGAAATGAAATGAAAAACTTATCAAATTAGAGTTATGTATGAAAAACTTTAATGAAATAAGTAACTCTGCAACAAATAAAATAGAATGGAGTGACTGAATTTAAATAAATTTGTTCAAACAAAATTTAGAAAGAGTATGTAGAAAAAGAACAAATAAAAATACGTCTTTAAATTAAATTTTGACAAAATAAAAATAACTCAGTTTAAGCTCCGAAGAGTGGAAAAAAGGTAGACCGTAGGAGAAAATAGGTTGAAAAGTAATTAACTTTAATTAATCTAAATCCAATAAGCCCCTAACTGTCTCGGGTCTAATCCAGTTTGACCACGGAGTAAACAGAATATCCAAGAGGAATAAAAGTTGAATTGAATAGAAGAAAGGGGTAGTAAACAGAATATCCAAGAGGAATAAAAGTTGAATTGAATAGAAGAAATGGGTGAGATCTGAAAATCCGATTCCGATGGCTTCTACAGAGGGTTTGGTGCCCATAACTAGGGCATTTCTGGCGTCATACTACGATCAACACCCCTTTACTCCTCTTTCTCCAGATGTCTCTCGCCTTTCTTCCGAGCTTCGTTCTATGGCCACTGATTTGCTCACTCAACATCCTCCTATCCATGGTTTATCTCTGCATTCTTTACTATTTATTATTCATCTATGCTTGCTTGAAACAATATTAGGTCTGTTGGTCTCTTTGAGTATAAATATTTGAAAATCCATGTCATTTCAGGAGAAAGCAGGTTAATAAATGAAGCTGAGAGCCAACCTCCGCATAAGATTGATGAAAATATGTGGAAGAATCGAGAGTATATTGAAGAAACTATTTTTTTACTTGAACCTTCTAATTGCCCACAGCCGGTAATATATATTTGCCAACTTCATTACTTCTCCTTAACATCCATTTTTCAGTTGACACCTACTTTCTAGATGCAGCTGAAACAACAGTCCGCACCTGACAATGTTGAATTCTCCATTATGCTTCGGAAGCTTAAAGATAAACTTCATAATACTTTGAGGACTTTGGAATCTTTCCAAATAAAAAATGCTGAACATGTATTTAACACGGGTACGCCACCCACGCCACTTGAATGTCTTGTTTTCAATAGATAATTACTAGCTTCTAATTGTCCATCTTTTAATTTTAACCCCACCCATCCCACTGAGGATCAATTTGGTTTTATGCCTTGGTGGTCGAGTATGGAAGCAATATGTCTATTACGACTTGTGATGGAGCAGTATCGGATGTAAACCATCCAATTCAGGATGGATGACTGAAACAGAGAAGGGTCTCGGGGGTTTTATGTGACATAAATGTACCACTCAAGTTGAAGGTGGTTTGGACATGTAGAGAGAAAAAATGCATATTCAATAGTAAAGAGAGTTGATTAGATGAAGTGGAGTCAAATAGTTAAAGGTAGAAGAAGACTTAGAAGAGAAGTTATTAAGAAAGATTTTGAGATTAATGAATTGGATAGAAATATGGTCTTGAATAGAACATTATGACGGAATTTGATACATGTAGCCGACCCTACTTAGTGGGGTAAAATTTGGTTGTTGTGTGTGGAAAGTGATAGGACATCTAGATACATTCTAGAAGAAAGTGGCATATGTTAGTTAATGACGGGACACTTATATCAAGGAAATACTGTTATAAGAGAGAGGGGTAGGGAGCAAATCAACATTGCTAGAGTTTGTTGGGAGTCTAGTGCTATGGTTAGGACTTCTTGAACTCTAGTTTATCCTTTCTTTATCATTTTCCACCATTATTGAGTTCTTGAGCTCATCTTTACCATTCAATAATGTACAATCTTGTTACGTTGATTTTACGGGCGCTATCACTAGTCTGACATTTTTGGATTATCAAGAGAAGCCAGCAAAGTTGCAATCTCACTCATGTCACCAGAGTTCTCATGGGAATGTTGTGACGATTGGATGCACTGGATGTGCGAATCGATGCATTGGACTTGCCACAAAAGATGGAGGAATTCCGTCAAAACATGATGCTTCAAGCCGTGGAACACTAACAAAACCATTTTCAGCCACTACAAGATCCCTGTCTAATCCAAGCTGGAGAATAACTTTTGTCACGGTAGCACTCATCATTTGAAGGTGTAAATTGGAAAAAAAAAATAGATTTGTTTAGAAGATCAATGTCCATAGTCCAATTTTGATGACAAGTCTATTTTTTAAGAGTGGCATTGATAGGACACCTAGACATATTCTAGAAGAAAGTGGGGCCATGTGGGAAAGAATATGTTTTATTTAATGACTTGGTACTGATGTTAGGGTAATACTGTTATGAGAGAGAGGGATGGGGAGCAAATCAGTTATTGAGAAATATTGTTACTGTTTGGAGAGTTATCCTTTCTTTACCATTTTCCACCACTACACAACTCTCGAGCTTATCTTTATCATTCAATAGTATACAGTTTCGATAACTTGATTTTATGGGTTCTATGAAAAAGTTCATTTGCTTGCTTTTGTTTTGCTTTTGTTTCTAACTCTACGCATATCATTATTTATATTGTCTGTCTTTGTGGGCATTTTGAAACAACACTACATCAGAAGAGTAGATGTATTGTAATTCAATTTCTTCTATAAGCTACTTAGATAATTTATTATTATTGTTCGTTTTTCTGTAGTCAATGGCTATAATCAGTTAACAGTATCTTGTTGCCATGTGTTGGATCATGTTGTTTGCGTTAGATAATGTCTGGTTTCCTATTTGAGTTGTGTAAAATAGTCTGGACCAAGAGATAATGGTTATATATCAGTTCATGGTGGATACCATTATGGCTATTGGAATATAAGAGAGTATCTTTATTTTACAGCATTATCATTTTCAAAGTCCTTAGTAATTCTGTTCTCCCACATTCAGGTGTTGTCTGTCTAAGTTTAAGTAGGTTTTTTCGTCCCTATACAATTTTGAATTGCAGTTTTAGTCCCCTTAAAATTTAAATTCGGAGTTTAGACCACCTTTTATTTGTTAGTTGTAGACTTATTGTCTTTGAAATTTTCAACCTCTTAAACGCTATTGAACTGGCACTCAAAACTTTGAATCTGGTGCTTAAAGTTGAATCTGAGATTTGAAGCACTTTCTGGCACTTAAGTCATACTGTCATAGCAGGTCATAATATGGTTCCACTTCCACCTTCACCCGCAAAGTGGACAGGTTCATCTTCTACTTCCATTTCCACCTCCATCTATAAAATTAAGGACTAAGATTGAAATTTTAACTTTATGGCGACTAAAACCAAACCTTGAGAAATTCATCTATAGGAAAGGAACATACTTAAAATGACACAAACAACCCCTGCCATGTGAGATTTTTGAGATTCTTATTAACAACTGTGCGGCATTTAAATATATTGCAACATGTATCCTTGTTTATTATGCATATAACAGTTAGCTCATATTTTGTCCAGATTCAGTAGCAAGTTGTTTATTTGGAATACTTGGTCCACTCAATCTTTTTCTCTAACTTGACCAATTGTATATGTAGTTATGACATATCTGCCTCAAGATTTTCGAGGAACTCTCCTCAGACAACAACGGGAACGCTCAGAGAGGAATAAACAAGCAGAGGTAGATGCTTTGGTGAATTCTGGTGGTAGCATACATGATCGATATGCTCTTCTGTGGAAACAGCAAATGGACAGGTAAGGCTCCACTCATGTCTAGTTAAATGTGCATGGATAAACAAGAAATATATTAAACCACTTATGGGTCATAGGAGAAGACAATTAGCTCAGCTTGGCTCTGCAACAGGAGTCTATAAAACCCTCGTGAAGTACCTAGTTGGAGTTCCTGAGGTATTATCTTGAATTTTCAATACAAGGCCTCTTTTTTACTTTCCTTCTTTTGTTTTTGGTTTGGAATTTATTCTCTCAGACTGCTACTTAAATCAGCTTATGCAACTTGTTTTGGCTTATTCATAACTTAATTTCAATGTTTCCAATGTAACGGGCCTAGCTTAATTCTTCAGGTATTTCTATGTAACATGGACGTAACAGTTTGTGTTGGAATATGTATAAATGACATTAATAGGGTAAATATATACGGTAATTAGGATTTTTTAATTCTTGTAGTTATGACATTATAACTGTATAATAAAGCTTCTGCTTTGTAATTTGGACACCTTAAGCATATATTATTTGTTCCGTCCTTCTCAACATGATACTTAGAGCTTCATGAGAGACAATGATATTCAACATAAGCCTGGTGGAACCACTTTCCGTTGGTGAAGTTTTCTTTTGGAAATTGTGTTTCAACTCTGGTTAATTGTCTTCGTTGCAGTGTCATCGTTTAGTAGCTTCACATGCCTTGATAGCCATCATATGTATGGAAAATTGTAGGGTAACTACTGGTTAATTCCTCAAATGAATAGTACATATAGAGTCGTTCTGTTGAATCCCTAACATAAAATATAATAATCTCTTAATTTAGGGAATCTACACTAACTACAAGATAATGTGAGCTTAGTTACAACTCCTCATATATACATTCCTAAAAAACACAGATTTTCCATACATCCCCTCAAGTTAGGGAATAGATATTCTACATTCTTATCTTCCGCACTGTCCTTTGGAGATAGGTCTTAACTTACCTCAGTTTGCTTCAAGAACTTTTAATTGTTTATTAGGTTGTAAACAACCATGTATTTGAACAAACATTACGAGGGCATTAGGTTTATGCTTTAAAGTGTAGTCCAAGGCTATCAGGAATAAGCATCAATAAATACACGTGTGCACTATTCTTTAACAACCTACTAGTTATTTTCACCAAGTTTTCAACATATCTACAGATAAGTTATACATGTACCAAGCTTAGTGTGTTGACCAACATGGTGTGACAAGAATGTAGATTCATAGATTTAATTACATCTCTCTTGATTTCTCCTTCCTTGGTAACAGGTTTAGGTTGATTCATGACTAATATAACCAATGTGATGATACTTATGATTAATTTAGACAAATGTTATTGTTTAGATTATTGTCTTTTGGTACTGGTTCTTTTGACTGATGATTTGTTGATATTCTAAATGACTGTTCAATTTGAGTTACAGGTATTGCTTGATTTTACAAGGCAGATCAATGATGATGACGGGTACAAAATACCTCTTTTTCAATGTTGTTCAAGCTTTCTTTTTTATATCTGCACTTAATGTGTGTGTGTGTGTGTGTGTGTGAATTACAATTACTTGATAACTCTTATCTACTGGTAGGCCCATGGAGGAGCAGCGTCATCGCTATGGACCACCTTTATACAGCCTCACCTCAATGATTCTTTATGTCCGATTCTTCCTTTCGTTATCGTGGGCACGATATGGGTATAAGAAATTGTGAGATTCCTTGAATCTTTGATTTTTTAATGCCAGACTTTATGTTTGATTGTGATGTTCTTAGTTCTATTTATTGGTATAAGAAATTGTGAGATACCTTGTGTCATTGCTATGGACACACACCCACTAAGGGCAAACCCACACATGCACACACCCACGAGAGATGTAATCTAAATAGGATGATCTTGATAGGATCAATTTAGCATCTAAAGGGATGAAAGTGAAACAGTAGAAAATAGAAATTGCATGAAAGGAGGCTGATATATTGATTGAAACAAGTAGAACCAAGATGATTCTAGGTAGGGAATGTAGTACAATATAGGGAAAACTAAGTGCAGAAAATGTAAAGATAACTAGGTCATTCGAGACACCTAGAGTCTCCGAGAGTAGTATGAATTACGTGAGAAAATTCATGCACAGTGATGCTAACAAACTTCCCTCCTCAAATAGCTTCAAATCCAATTTCTCTCTCAGCATGCTTTTTGCACGAATTAGTTAGGATCTTAGGGGAGAGAAGGCGATTCTCTGTGGCCCCATTTCCTGCTCCACATTCTGTGGCCCCCACCCCCACGTGTTCTAGTATAAACATGATCAAAACTATCAATTCCCCCCCTTCAAGACTCTCCTTGACCTCAAGGAGGAATCCTGGAAACTCTTTCCTTAAGGTGTGCACTGATTCCCATGAATTTTCAAATTCTGGGAGCTCCTTCCACTTGACCAGGACTTCCACGTGCCCTTGGGGGCATTTCCTCTAGTGTCAAAGGCTTCTTCAGGGCCTGGTTCCAGACACCATTCTTCATTCATACAAGCTGGTAAGGGCTGAGGTACAGCTTCAGGGCCTATTGCCTATTTTTAATAATGATGCATGGAACACAGGATGGACATGTGTATCTTCTGGCAGCTTAAGTCATAGGCTACAGCTCCTATTTTTTTTATCACTTCATATGACCCTTAGTTTAATTTTTTTGATATTTTTTTTTGTTTTAATGTCTTGATACCCTTATAAATGTATTTGAAAATTTATTCATATTCCTCCCCCAATGCATTTTGAGTTCCACCATATTGGAGGGTTTTAACCCAATGAAAAAAATAAAATAAAATCTCATGCCAGGTGGGTGGACTACTCACCCTTCTTCCCTTTACTTCTTCCTTTGTCCACAAAACTCTCTCCCCCCCCTCTTGCACCAAACTTCCAAATATAGTCTAGGGTTTTGTTTGGGAGTTTGGGGGAGGAGGGGAAGGGAAGGCTTCAGAGGAAGGAGATTTAAACAAAAAATAGAAAAATCTTAATATTTTTTGAAAGAATGATTTTGTTTAGAATGATGAATGAATGTGTATCATTACTCTAGTTTTAATTTTCAGAATATTATAACAACATAGATTATAATTGAAGAGTTTATGTAAGGCCGCTGAAACCCTCCAAACTTCTCCTTCAATACAATTTTTGAGTTCCCCCAAATTAGGGTTTTTTTGTATTATGAATAAAATGAAACCTCCCAAAACCATCTCCATCAAAATCCCTCAATTCGTTTTACACCATCCTTTCCTTTTTTCAAAGCCATCCCCTCCCCTCCAAACTCCCAAACAAAATCTAAGGGTTTTACTCAATATACTGAGTAGCTTGGACAATGAATATTTTTGTTGTTATTTGAAATGTAGTACTTCTTTGTGGATGATCAGCTATGATAGATGTATGCCATGTATACTACTTACAGCTGCAGACATCATCGGGGTAACTACATGCTAGTTTTGGCTATGATTGTCTTGGCTTGGATTTTGCCCATTATTAGTAAATATGCTGATTTTTGATTGTTTGTTTATGTAACAACTACTACTAGTTGTTTGGGTTTGAGCTGTCAGGTTCAGGATATGTTATGTTTATAGAAGATTTTAGGGGCTAAATAATATCAATAGAGGGAGGATCAAGTTTTGTGAAGATGTTTCTTGTTATCTTTTTTATTTTTTGGGGTTCAGTTATGTTTCATATTTCGTGTATGTTTAAAAGTTACTTCATGATGGTACATAACTATGCATATTACTTCCCTTTGTGTCTGCTTACAGCCTCTGGATGAATTCGGCTACTATTTAAAATAATTGAGGGGCTTTTTTAGTTTGATTATTTAACAGTTGTGGTGTTCTTATATTCTTTTACAATGTAGAGCACTTTTAACCCCCCTGTCTTCTCTCTGGGTATAATTTGTTAGAAAAAGGGAACAGTTTGCTGTCTTGGAACAAGCTGTTGATGTCTACACCATGGAGTTTGAGAGGTTCATCACATTTATTAGGTATAATAATGCTCGAGTTGATGCAGCTCATTCTTTAATTTTCTGTTCTTATAAAATTAATGCTCGCTGTAAATCTGTTTTTTTCACTAAACATTGATTTTCATGCACAATTTATTGAAATTATCTATTATCTACATGCACATATATAGTTTTATGTATTCAGAGTGTTATTTATTTTCATACCAGACAGAGAAGTAAATTCAAACCACTCAGCCATACATTGATGGTCAAGATTAAAGTTAAATAATGTCTTGAAAGAAATTTATCTCTCACAGTTGATTTGTTTTGTGAGAAACTGGGTTGCAAGTAATATGTAGTGCAATTTGGTTGTTGCAAATTAGTTTCTTCACCTTAACATCTCCTAATATGAGTTATTGCCTGTTGGAGGTAATTTGATCTCTTGGTAGAGCAAGAAGCCGAGCATATTCGCATGCTCGACTTCGAGTGCAGAAGCAGAGTATCGTGCCATTGTAGTTACAACTTGTGAACTCACATAGCTGAGACAGTTACTTCAACTCAAATTAGATGTCAAGGCAATGAAACTAATTTGTGACAACCAAGCTACATATTGCTTCCAACCCTGTTTTTCATAAAAGAACTAAACTCATAGATCGCCTGACCTTTGTGAGAGATAAAGTTCTTCTAGGATAAAGTATTACCAATTTTGGTGGCTCTACCTCTAATGATCAACTGGTTGATATGTTTATTAAACCTCTTAGAGAACCTTGAGTGAAATCTATTTATAACAAGTTTGGTGCATATATGACTTGTATGCTCCAATTTGATGGAGTGTCATAATGTAAATATGCTTAACCATCTATTGGTAGGTCCAAAGGTTAGGATTTACTCTTTTAACTCTCATGACTGTCTCACTTTGTACAAATCCCACAAACAGTATATCAACCATAAATAGATAGTAAAGTTTGTTCGAATTAAATCTAATTATTAGGATTAATTGTATAGTCATGATTAACTTTTTTTAGGGAAATACACTCACACTTAATACGCTCTTTAATCTCTCTAACCAATCTAAATGTTAAATTATTTGATAGCTTCTCGGAAATGTATGCTACATTAGAAGATTTAGACCTTTATAGAAATTTACTCGAAAGTCTAGTCTACCTGTAGATTTTACTTTATATTTTAAAAGTTATATCATAGAAAGACTTAAACGTGGTATCAATGAAAATGTTATTGTTCTCACTCGAGTCTCTTCTATTACTAGAATTTTATTTCTCGTTGAATAACTTGCTATTTTTGAATTGGTGCGATGCATGATGCAACATCCATTAGTTTTTGATTTGTTACATATTAACTTTTAAATAACAATTGGATTGATGAATGCTACAGATATTATTAAAAAGAGTAGTATGCTAATTTTAAACCTAGTGTGAATGGAAATCTATCATTGTTTTCACTTGTGTTACTAGAATTTTATTTCTTGTTGATTAACTTACTAGTAATTTTGATCAGCGGGGTCTTTGCAAACTCACCTTTCTTCATTCCAGCAGATGTTGCCGGTGCAGTGGAAGTAAGGTAAATGAAAAATCTTGCTTTCTTTGATTTTTACTATTTTCAAGCCAATATTAAAATTTGTCCTTTTTCAGTAAAATTGATGACTTCAAAGAGGAAAGTGTTCCAGCTGGGAAAACTTTTGAGGTATATTTACAAGGCTTGGGAAAATTTAGTAAAATTTACTGATAACTTTTGAAGTCATGAGTAAAATTGATGACTTCAAAGAGGCAATTGTTCCTGTTGTACATAACATGTAACAATTTATAAATTTCCTGTTAATAATTGAATCTGCGACTCAGCTGTATTCAGTTATTTTTAAAAATTGTTTGCATTATGCTACTTTTTAATTTATGAAAATTTACGATAATATTTGAATCTCAGGTTATACTCTCAGTGGACTCAGTAAACTCGTATATTGCATGGGATTTTTCTTTAGTACAAGGCAAGATAAATATGGTATTGCTGCTACAATTTTTGTGTGCGTGCAAGTTGTCATGATATTCCTAAAACATCCTTCTATAGTAAACTTGTTTTTGTTTATTGTCAGGATATTGGATTTAGTTTGGAGTTTACAAGTCCTACTGGGGAAAAGACTGTAAGTTTGAATGTCATTTCCATAATTTGGTGACTTTAGATTATCAGAAGCCTTGTTAATCTTTATTGCACATTCTTATCTTCAATCTGTTAGGCTCATACCTAGTCCCTGTTCTCCATTATTCAGTTCTGTATTGTGTTTTGTTCTCTTAACCCATGTCTGTTTTTCCATTTTTCATTCTCATGGTGGCTGATTGGTTGACACAGCTGATGTTGCCTCACCGCCGATATGAGTCTGACCAAGTGAGTCTGCCATGTTTGTTGCAACTTTTATGCTTCAGTAGGCATTTGATGTGTAAATATTTGTCTTTAATTTTATACATGGTAATTTTAGGGTAACTTCTGCACATTAATGGCTGGAAGCTATAAACTGATATGGGACAACACACATTCAACTTTTTTTAGAAAGGTATTTAGCATGTCTCATTATCCCATCTGGACCTATTAGTGAATATAAACATGCTCGCTAATTGGGTTTGGATTGATGAATTTACGTTAAGAATCTGATTAGACATTTGCATTTCTTCCTATGAGTATAGATAATTGGCCATGGAATAAACATGTAGCAAGATTTTCTGATGAATGTTATTTTATATGGATTGTAGGTGCTACGGTATAAGGTAGATTGTATACCTCCTGTGACAGAGCCTGTGCAGTTGGACTGATACAAAAATGCTGTAGAAACCTATTGATTTGCAAGTAATTTTATTCTTATTAAAAACAAAAGTTCCAATTACTCATGCCAAGATTGAGATGGATTCAATTGATTTCTGTAAAAGGCTGAGTTTTATAACGTGGACTGTTGTAAAAAAAAAGAAAGTAATCCTTATATGAACACATTGTTTTATGAAGAACAATATGTGAATGGTGTGACGTTCAGGTATTAAAAGAAAATCTGAGCACCATTAAAATTTTAATTACAAACTTCATATTTGTCAACGTGTTCAAAGTATGAAGGATATCGTGTAGTCGAGTTGTCATTCGGTGCATGCTTCATTTTCTTCGGAGCACCTTTTGTTTTTACCGGTTGGGAAGACATTTTCATGTCGGTGGTTTCGGGATAGGTAATCCTCCTCAATTGTTCTTTGATGTGGAGTTTCACATTGTCATCTACCTTTGAAAATATCTCTTGTATCGCTTTCCATTCGGTTAAAATAGAGATATTCGATTTACCTTCATCCATGCATCCATCATCGTCGAAACTAAGTCTCTTCCAATGAGAGCAAATCTCGTCCATTCTTATTGGTTCACCAAGTTTCACCTTTTTAGCAATAACACAAGCACATGGGAGACCATATGTTTTCACAATAGTGCAACCACACTTTGCGCTATCGAAGCCTTCATTATCAGCTTGTTTAGTCTCGTAAAAAATATAGTTCAACTCGACCCGAGAAATATTATCAACCAAATGAGAATAAAGAATGTGTCTTTAAATCGGTGTTTCAAAACTATGATGCTCTGACCAAATGTTGTTTGTATCTCATTATGTTAGTTTTGAATCATGTGGTTCACAGAGTCGCAGTCTCGACACAAATTCCCCATGCTATTTCCAACCAAATTTTCAAAGTAGCATGAGCCGACTCAACTTTGTTGGTAGTTGTATTTCTAAGGTGTTATACATTATCAGTCCACGTGCAAACTATTTTCTCCTTTATTAGACATTTTTCACACACTTTTCGGAAATGAATGACATAATCGACATATAATTCTATTATAGAAGAATTTATTATAGAATTTCATGCATCCATTATTTTCTCCATAATCACATCCGACTTCACCAATTTTCCACCTTCTCACTTTACTTGTTTCGTTCCAACTGCAGGTTTAAGTCAACTTCTCATATTTTTTGTTATGTGATACTTACAAAATAATGCATAAGAAGAATGAAATACCTTTGCAACCGCACTCATCAATGTAATATCACGGTCGTTAATAATAGTTTTAGGCATCTCACATTGATCCTTCAAAAGTGACCGACACACTTCTAATGCCTAAGTGATATTTTTTTTTTCACTCTAAAAATACAAAACCAACGAAATATGTCTTCTCAGTTGAAGTAACACCAACCATCTTAAATAATGGAAATTTATTTTAATTGGTCTTGTAGGTAGAATCAAATATGAGCACTGTCGGAAATGTGTTAAACAACTTTATCGAATTTGGATGAGTCCAAAAAATATCTCTAACCGTAACTCCGTCATCGCAAGTTCGGTACCAGAACACGTAACTGTTATCATCCAACAGTTTCAACAGTTGTTACATCTCGGTTCTATCCCCCTAACCGCCTTATTAGTAAGGTATCGAATGTTTTACATTTACTTGACATTTGATATATTATTGGTTTGCTTTTATTTCAAAGTTGTAAGTATATTTTTCGGTTGGACAAGATTCAAAGCCATGTTACTAATACATTCCTTATCTTCCGGCTTGAGCTGACATACACTAGGATGACTGGTTAATTTTAAGCATAACTAATGGTTATTGGTTATGCAAACCAAAAATGACATTAAATCTCCATTTTTTGTTAGCCAACATGTAACCACAAAGTTTAAACAAACACTCACATTTTCTCTACTATCCGTGCTGTCTTTCTTCAAATTCTGGACAAAAGTTCGATAGCTCCCGCTTCTTTCGCACAACATAGTCACAAAAGCATTTCTTCTATCTGAGCCATTATCCGACCTTCTGATTACTACACCAAATCCAACTCTAGATGTCTCCATACGAATCCATTGAGCATGTTATCAAGATTTTCAAACTCTTTCTTGTTATTAAAGTCGTTGCCAACATCTATTGCCTTCACAACAACCCCTTGAGCATTCGGAGAAACATCGTTTAGAGAAACTACTTATTTTGGGAAAATATCGGCATACACCATATTTATTGGAAACAATACAAACAATAACAAAATATTAATTAGTCTACTGCTGTAGAAGGGGTTGGAATTTGAACACATAAACATTCCGGAGATGTAACTTTGGAAAAGTTCATATACATACACTTCGGAGATACATCTCTGGACATTGCGTAGGTTTTTTCAGAAAACTTTCATGATTAATGTAAGTAATGTAGATGCAAGTGAACAATCTTTACCTGAAATTCGATCTTCTTTTGCTCTCTGTGATATGTTGAACTAAAAGGATGAAGATTTAAAGTCAGAAATGGGATTGAGAATATAGGGTTTTTAGGGTGAGAGTTTGAGTTGAAATGAAGAATGACAACAATGGCGGACTGATAATGTATCTGATAGCTATATCAGATATTTTCGGAGATACATCTCTGAAAAAATTTGACATGCAAAGGTGACAAAAATTTCAAACTGTCGCTCAAAACTCCAGATGTATATCTCCGAAACATTCACTAAATAATTTAAATATTTTCCTAAAATTATTTCTGAGATATATCTCCCGAATAATTTTAAGGGGCATAATAGAAAATCTACATGGTGCCTAAGAAATATATGGAGTGGAAAAAAAAATCCTCAATGATTATTATTCTCATGAAAAGCTAAGCTTAAATCATGTATGTAACTTGGATAGCACATGTCTGGCCCATGGTTTATCCTTTTGATATTATTGAAGTCCATGGGTGGAATATGTCTGTAACATAATATAAACTTAGATTGAGTAATGGTGTTTGTGGTACTATGTTGTGTTCAGGGTGAGAGGAGTGTTATTGGGTTAGAGTATATATTGAAATAGAGTCTTGTCATTGTTGTAGTGAATTTGTAATGCGGTTGACCTGAATTTTCACGATTAATCATAGATTCTGATTTATGTTATGTACGAATGAATGATTTTTTTATGGCGTAATGCTCCACCTTAGAAAAAATGTTATGGATGATATATAAAATATCATGATTAATGTATGTGAGGAATGCAAATAAATGATCCATTTTCAATATATATCTCAAATTCACCTTCATGTATAAATCTTTCAAATTATGCATATTAATCCTATGTTTGAAAATTTTACACATGTCATATTAAATTAGTTATAAATTTTTATAATTTTGTAAAATGGTCTAAATAATTTTAAATCCAGCACTCCTTTTTTTTATAATTTTAATTTATGTCAGATTTTTTAAATTTAAAATATGGCGTATAATCTAAAATTATCATTTTCAATAAATCTTCTTTATATATTTATACTTTTATCTCAAGCTTTTTAAAATTGATATAGCTCCAAAAAGTTAAAAAAATAAAAAATCTTATTATTATTTCTGAATAATAAATAATTTAAAAATAGAATGAATTCATTTAAAATATTTAAATTGTTATGAATTATAAATCTCATAATTTTCAATATTGGGGTTATTATCATGAAGACACTCATATATGAATGATTAGCAAAATTTATTTTTCCGTTTGATGTTTTTAAATTTCAAACTCTAAAGGATGAAGATATATTTGAAAATTGAAATTCAGTCTAACTTTTGACAAAAATGAGGATACCAGTGATTTGTTGTAAAATCGGTGCGTCAATCTCAAAATGTTATTAAAAATGTTATTCAAATCAATGAGTAAAAATCATTTTTAATGTGGATGCTCATGCTTTATCTTCTTATTTGTTTGCGATTGTTTGGTTGGTTATGGAACTAACACTTATAAATTGGTTATTGTTGATGTTTTAATTTAATAATATTTTTTTTATTTTAATGTTACTCGCAACAACTAGACACTTAAGTTAATGAATATGTATGATCATGATAATGAACCATTTCACAACTCAAACTTTAGTAATAGTGTTTTTAGATAAAACCAAAAATGCAATTAAATTAGAACTACTATAGGTTAAAACTGTATATTAAAGGAAACTCTAAGGATAATTAGAGTATTTTGGGGTTGTGCTTTCTTAAATTTGTACATATTCTTTTTTTTAATTCGAAAGTTTCATTGAATGTTACATAGGGAGAAAAATATTATTTTAAACGAAAAAACCTTAAATTTAATTAAGTACTAGCACTTTCATCAAATAAAATAATAATAATCAATGTTATGTTATATTTTAATATTTAATTACACGTTTGTTTTAAGTATTTATAAATTGTATATTGGAAATTTTTATTTCTGACAATTTGATTTTTTTCATTTTTCATTCTCATATAAAAGAATGAGAATTTTATATTCAAATAAGATGTAACCGCCAATAATTTTCCGTTTTCATTTATTTAATTTTTTTTTTAAAATTTTTACTTTAAATATATTTTATATTCATTCATTAGAATTTAAATTATTTATCACCAAAATTTAACTTCTTTCCCTTATCTATCAAACTATGACACGATAAAATAGCATCTCATAAAAATAAATTAAAGTGATATAATATTAACTAGCTAAATATTACGCAAATCTTTTAATATATATATATATATATATATATATATATATATATATATATATATATATATATATATATATATATATATATATATATATATAGGTCGTTAATGTAGACCGACTTATTTTTATGAATGTCTATTTTAATAAATTGCACCGTAGAGTGCATTTAACAATTTTTTTAGTTAAAGTTTGCTAAAATACGTCTTCATAAAAACAAATGAGAGTATTATAACAAACTCCTTACCTACTTGTTTTTACGAAGGTATATTTTAGCAAACTTTAACTTAAAAATTGTTAAATGCATCCTAAGAATAAGAAACTAC